GTAGCATTGTAAATAACATTTTTGTTGACAGAAAACATGAATAAAATGTCATTTTCCATCGCGTTCCTCATTAACTATGCAATATTCAAAACATGAAAGGAGATTTTGTGGTTAATAGAATGATGATTCATCTTCCAACCGAGGCATTATGAAATAATTACAATGCTGAACGCTGAAAGGACAAAGTACTTTTTAAACAATCTGTCAAACCAAGATGGAAAAAAAAACAAGCTCTTCTTTCTTCACTAAAGTCCACATTATGATCATCTGTGCGTGTGTATGGGTGTGTGTATATGTGTGTTTGTGTGTGAATGTACTGGCAGCGGCATACACTGTTCTCTCATGTATCCCTTCCCAGGCGGCTGATCTAAAATAACATGGGAAGCCGATCAGACAAGAAATTCATACCCTGGTGGAAATAAACACTGGGGGGGCTGAGCAGAAATAAACACCGTCCAGTCAGGCGGGGATGGTCTGTGGGTCCGTGAGACTGCCCACGCCTCCTCCAGCTCCTTGTGCTACAACAACAACACACACACACACACACACACACACACACACACACACACACACACACACACACACACACACACACACACACACACACACACACTGAGAGTAGCTCTAAGGTAAAATGGACTCACTGGAACAGGTGGACTCACCAAGGTCTGGTCCGTGGGCCGTTTGCCAACATAGTCCTTTGCGCTCTTCATGGTGACTTCATTTTATTTTGATCACACAGCAGTTAACCGGTTTCTACTTGCATGACAGTTGTGAATGTTCAAATGTGGCCAGATGGACTCCGTTAGGATTTCTCGGTGTTCTCAAAAAACACGTCATACATACACAACACACATTCAGTCATGTCCGCACACCATTAACAAACACACTCACACAATAACAAACAAGCTGTAACACACGATGTGCATGTAATAACACACACAGACACTCACTCACACACACACACACACACACAAAACACGCCCCCCCCCCAAAAAAAAAAAACAAATAAAAAAAGACATACTCAGATAGATCAACGCACACATTCAGGAACACACTCACAACATAACACACACACACCCAGGAACACACACTGGAATAGACGTTAAAAACAAATACAACAGTAACACAGGCACAAGAATAAAGAGAGACATACACTCCTAGGTCAGTGTGTGGAGGAGACGTGACCGCATCACATCCTCTGCCGGGCCTCTCACTTCCTACTCTGTGGATGCTGAAGGCAGTCATCAAAAAAAAAAAAAAAAATTCCCGTCACTTTGGATACATGCTGATGGATGCCCTCGGAAGCCATTATGGTGGAATGGAGAATACAACGAAAATCCCCTCCTCCTCCACACACTCTCTCTCGAGGGTCAGTGATGGATGTCTTTAAAATAAAATATCTGATTTTAAAAATACATATTTTTAGATTTTTTTATCATTGTATTCAGATGGGCCTTGAGAGACAAGTGATAAAATTTCCGAGTCTTTATCATTCGGAATATTTTTTATTTTTTGCTTTGACTCAAGAGCATAAATTTGAGATACAAGCGCTGATTTGGGAAATAGTGAACAATGAAACAAACAAAAAATAATAAATAAGCGGCTTCAAACTGTTTATTGGCACCCACAGGTATCATGGCAGGGTCCTTTCATTCAAATAAAAAAAAGAAACTCTTTCCAATAATGCAAATCAAGTGTTCTTATTGGACCATTGCAGATCACTTGTACTGCCCAATAAAATGAAAAACAGTCAATTGTATTTGAGCATCCAGAAATTGGCTTTATAAATAGGTACATCAGAATTTGAAGCTTCTGTTAGTAGGATTTTAAACTAAAAAGATAAGCACCTGATGTTTTCAGTGGCGCAACTGAGTGTATTTTAGGCCAGAACCGCATCACCCCTCCATCTGGATGCCGAGAACTGTTTTGCGATCTGTCAGTGCTGATATGTCGCATTAGGCAGCCGAACAGCAAAGCCTGTCAAGCGTTCTCCGAATCTTTCTGGCAAATACCATCATCGTCATTGTGGTCACATACAAGCTTGGGGGAGAAACTGCCCTGGAAATGCAGGAAAAAAAAAAAACAGTTATTCCAAATATTCCCAGAGGTGTCTGTACTTCAGAGTGGAAATCATTATTTTCCTGTGGTTTCTTTGTCCTCATTTAAAATGCTATTAAGATTTGAAGGACAGTTAAAATATTAATTTAGACTTTCAAATGTGAAGCTTGAGTCATGAAAAAGCAAAGGCAAAAAAAGTTTTGCTGAGTTTCTAAATGTAAATATTAGAGCCCAACCGATGAAGATTCCAACACTTGGCAGGATAAAATTCGGAAACCAATGGTTAGGCCGATTCATTTAAAAAAAAAAAAAAATAATAAATATATAAATATATATATATATATTAGTCAGAAAATATGAATGTTTTACATCACTCTATCCTTAAGTATTTGTATAATTTTACGACGGAGAGAAAAATCTGCTAAAATTAGCCGCTTTTTTTGGGGGGGGGGTAGGAGGAAAGTTTGAATGTCATTATCTTTGTCTTATGTTGCAAATGTGCTAATGTGTTAAAAAAGGAAAGTGCAAAAATAGACCAAAAATATATGCAGATTAATTCCAGTGTATTTGTTTTTGTACAAAATCATGCTTAATTCAAATGTTTTGCCTATTTCATCCCGATTAAGTTAGAGCGCTAGGTAAAGGAACAGTGGAAACTCTAAATTTGAAAACAATCAAGGTTTTTGGATTTTTGAACCATTTTTACAATTGGACATATTGGAAATGGGGACATCCAACTTGAAGCAAGGTACAGCCCTCCACCACACACGCGCGTATATCGATATTCAGACCGAATTCAAGCATTTTTACCCGTTTCCAATCGTTGTTAATAAAGGCATGAATATTGGATTTCTTGAAAAGATTATTTTGACCACTTATCCTGTGATGTGGCGTGATTTTATTTCCTGATTTGCTCAGAACAAAATCGATAATGAAACATTGTTTGTTAGCCTCCTCCGCTTCTTCTTTGTATTGACTGCAGTGTGGATGTTCTGGGGCTTCATGCTGCTTTTCCTAGGTCAACCCGGGTACTACGCCAACCATCTGGTTTTGGGGAGGAGATTTGAGATTGTCAAGCGCGCCACACATTCTAAGGTTAGTTAAAAAAAAAAAAAACTTTGATTATTCTCTTGTCATGAGGAGGATAACTCACATTTTAAGATGTTTTAAATGTGTACCAGACATTCGAGCTCGAGACGCAATCATGAAAAAGTGACGCATGAAAGGACTTCAATCACGTTGAACTTTCTCTCAGTGAGAACAATGACTCACATTGTTTGCCAGTCAGTCACAAACAGCCAGTTTCCTCTTTTTATTCAGTGATAAATAATTTTCCTATGTCCATAGGCTTTTCGTGTAGACATCCGATCAAGGCAAGAGACAAATTAAGAGGGCACACTTTGCCACCATTTGAAAATAATACAAACAATGAGGTAAGAAGTTCTCTTTTCTTTTTTTCTTTTCTTTACACATTTGTGGTGCAACTATTCCTGTTAGCTATACTGTTGAATGCACAGTCCTTCCGAATACAGAAAATCCTGCCTTTGTGTCTGTACATCATAATTAAACAAAAACAGGGCATGGCACAATACTGAACCAACAAAGTGAGGAGGGGAACCATTATAAAACTCTTAAGACTTGGTGACTTGAGCTTTGTGATTGTGCTCACACACACACACACACACACACACACACGCACGCGCACGGTGCTCCAGTGTTTGTAATGTCATAATTTGCCAATTTGTCGTTACCGATTTGTTGCTTTACTGTTCTATATGTTAGTTGCTCCATGTACAGCACTTTGTATGCAGCGATGGCTATTTGAAAGTGCTCTATAAATACAATTGAGTTGAGAATCCATCAATGACATAATTGATCGGCTCCGCAGAATAAAACATGACGGCAAAACACAATCTTGATCAATCCTAAAATGTAACCGTGATGAGCCAAGGTTTCTCTACATATCAATATCTTTCAAGATTTTTTTTTGTGGTGGTTTCATTGGTAATAATTTTTCCCAATGCATTTCAATGGGAAAAAATTACACCGAAATGTTGGCTATTCGTGGCCCAGTTGGTCCCAAACGCAGGCTAACGAATTAAATAGATTTGTCCATTTCCTAATCGGATCAGTGATCGGTTATTGTGTTTTTTTTTTCTCACTGATCAGTTCCAAAATCCTGATTGTGTAAAACCCAGTAACTGTATTTATTTTTTATTTTTTTTTGCACTTCAACAATACTGTTGTTCACACACAGACATTAAAAAGTTTACGCCCTATTTTCATATCGCTAATGGCAAAAGCAACACCAGAGCTCATGAAGTCGCTGGGGTGATTTAACGTTTCTATGCAGTATTTAGGATGACTTTGACCTTTCCCTGTTAGCCTTAACTTGAATTGAGATACCAAAACAATTTGTATTCATATATTCTATCTTGTTTCTTGGTTGATAACCTCACCTTTGGGCTCAGGGGCCTCGCAGTGGGGTGTTTTTCCGCCCGACAAAACCTCTTTGTGTAACATGCGTGTGTGTGTGTGCGTTCCATTCACAAAGCTCAAGAGCAGCACAGTGAGGCGCAGCCCCATGAACGGACGTGACCTGCAGTCCCTTGTGCCTTCGTCGTCATATCAAAAGAGGACAAAGCAATGCTCCCTGCTCGCTCCCTTCCTGCGCTGACCTGAAAGAAGAATACCGCCGATTGTCAAGATCCACATCAGACGATTTCTCACCTTATGCAACTGCAGCTTTTTTGTCCAAAGGAGTCAATACCCGGAGCTATATTTAGCAGCGCAAGTCCCTTCAAAACGGCTTTGAAGCAGCACACTTAACCGCATGTCCTTGTGGCTGTACTTAGCAGTAACAAGAGTGCGAACAATAGAAAAGGATGATGTCAATTCACAGTCTATTGGAACACTACTTCAGTCGTATTTTACTTTTGAAATCAATGTGTTTGCCTTGAAAGTGACATTTGTTTCGAAATACGTCACACACACATTTGTCGATAATTGCCTCAAACGTGCAGAGACTGAGAACCACAGGGGTGCCTGGGGAGATACGAGTTTAATTTGTTCCGTGACCTTGCTCGTGACTCAAAGCACTCACATCTGAAATCGTGTTTCTCCACTGAAATGAAGGCAAACGCCATTAATTATGCATTCAATCATGAGCATTATGATTGAATGCTGAAATTCAACTGATTATGATGCCCGTTGAAAACAAATGAACCGTATGTTAGCATTAACCTAGCAGTGTATCAAGTATCAAGTAAAACGTTATTGTCAAATGTGCTGTACATACAGCACAGATGAAATTTCCTCCCTCTTAAACAGACAAAAGATAACAAGAGGAGCTGCTGCGGGTGCCCGCGCCAGTGTCTTTCTTTAGGCACCTGTTTGGGCATTTTCAACACACAATGTGTAATTCCCTTTGCTTTAGGTTTAATTTGACACTAAACTTGAACTATGAGTGGCTATAAATGACTTGGAAGCTTTTTTTTTTTTTTTTTTTTTTTAAATAATCGCATCTGCCGAACTGCTGCTTGTTGTGCAGCGAGTTGAGTCATTGCCACCAGACAGTCTTCATACCTCAAGTCTGTGGTTGCAAATCGGGGGGGAGTTGACGTCAGCTCGTATGTCCAATTGGTATCACTCGTATCTCAAGGCACCACTGGATTAATTTTTCACTTAAGAGGGATTGCAAGTTCAATACAATTGCATTCAAGTTTGAGAACCATTTGGGCTAGTCAATGTAAGCTGTGTTGCATTCGGTGGCATTCTCCTTTGCTGGTGTGTGCGTGTGTGACCTCAGGGACGTGGTATGCGCGCTCATTTGCGCCACCCACACGCCTTCGTCTTGGGGGCGCAGGGGGGGAGTCATAAGATGTGACGGGCGAGCGGCGACCCGGGTCGAGAGCCAGCACCTCCTCATTCAAACTCAAAATACTTCTGTGGAAAGGCGAACACAATAAAAATGTACAACAACAGAAAAAAAAATGAACACTGAAAAATAGCAAAGAGGTCCCAAACGTAGCAACATGGAACATTGGTGACAGTGCGGATGTGTGCCAAGGGCAGCGTGGCCCCACATGGCCCAACGGGCGGGAGCGGTGTAGGGGGAGGAGTCAAGGGCTTCAGTGGTCCTCAAGAACTCTGTACAGGCGTTATCCCTGTAGTTGCCATGACAATGGCACCCTCGCCAGCAGAACCACAGAGACGCCATGTATGAAATGAACAGTGGCGGCGTGCCCGCCTCACCCACACTCTCCCTCGCCACCTTGACCTTGGGTCATCTTTTAGAAGTTCAATACTTCAACAGGTCCCAGAAAATCGTGGCCAGAGTTTATCGTCCGAAGATTTTCTGTGGCTGCGTGTCCTGTCAATCCCGACAAATTATTCCGTTTGTCCAGAGGCAGGCACGGTCCAGCCTTCAGCCCGGGAGGCAGACTTTGCCGGCGAACAGCAGTCCGACTATCGTGAAGAAGATGGAGAGGACGAAGAGCACGTAGGAGGAGCCCACCACCGTGTTGTTGGGCAGCTTGTACGGTTGGCCTCCCACTTCGTTGATGTAGAAGCCTATGGGGAAGATGAGCGCCGCCATGCAGAACAGGATCACTGCATGAGCGAGAGATAAAACAGATCAATACACTTTATTAGGAACAGTTAGATGCGACCCCATTTTGCCTGCAGAACAGTCTGAACTTATGTGCCGCAAGCCTTTGTTGCTACCAAGCAGACCGGCTCCGTAAATGCTCCCAAACTATTCGATCGGTACGGTTCGCAGTTGACTTAAAAATGTTTTTCATACATATTTTTCTCGGTTTTTAAACTTTGAAAAGGTTCATTCTCCGACTCGCATCGATGTCACCACACATTATTGGTAAAGCGGCCATCTGCTATCTCCACGTTTCTTAATTTTAACTCCTGATAGGCGCGCCTGTGTCATTTCTTCACTTGCACTCCCTGTCATATGACTGGCCCATTAGCCTATCTGCATAAACCTCCATTTGAACTGGTGAGCCCTTAAATGCGATTCATTCTGAAAGTGTACTCCAAGACGAGCTGATGTTTGCACTTTTGGGCAGCTCCGTACACCGCAGAATTAATGCTCATTTGTCTTCATTAGACGATGGGACGCTCTCATGAATCACTGTCAAAAGTCAGAAGTTTAATTTTCCAAAATACTTGTTCATATACAATACTACTCAAAGTAATTGAATGTAGCATCAAAATTACATTTTTTTGGTTTTGGATCAAGCCGCAAATCCTGCTTTCGATCCTCCAGCTCAATTCTCACGTTGAATGTTGCTCCACAGATGCTAAGTTAGCTGTTTAAACTACTTGCTGGCTGAATAGCAGCTTTAAATTCCTCAGCAAGCTTAAAAGATGAAAACGTGGAAGTACGTTTAAAGCTTTCAAAAAAAAAAGACAATTCAGCTCAATTTATTCACACCAGATAAGATGGAACTCAACACAGCACGAGCAACATCTCAGAGAAAACATGACAACACCAAGCGAGCAACAACCTGCACATCACAAACACAGTTTGATGACTAATAATGCAAATTACTGCTCCATATGAACATGCTCCTCGTTAACCATATTCATTATTTTGGAAAGGCATAATAAGTCGCACTAACAGGTTGCTGAATGAGTAACATCTGGCCGATAGCCTCCCATCTGTTTGGCCAGGAGATAATATTAGCCCCCCCATATAAATTTGTGCTAAGAAGAATAAATTGGGGAAGAACGTCAAGATCCTATCGACTGAGCTAACAGTAAAACGTCTTGTCTGGATCATAACTCTGGGGGGAAAAAAATAAATTATGGATCCTCAACACGTATTGAACAGTTGTCAATGCGAAGCAAGCATTGAGTGTTGATTGTTTGCAAGTATTAGTGCCCCTCTTCTCCCACAAGTCACACCCAAGAGAAATTTGAGTGCGTGCACTGAAATAGTCTGCACGGGTTACACAAAGCTTTCCATTCAGCACTTGTGGCCCGGAGCCCAGTTCAACTGCTAGCTAGACTGGCCACCTTCTGCCCCTCCTTAATCACCTGCTTGGCCAGTATGAATTGCCAAGTCATCGACTTTCTACCAGATTAATTTAGCCCAATGCTCTTCAAACTTGTTATGCTAAGTAACACATGAAAATATGCTTGATTCGCCATTATGAAAAACTGTAAAACACAGTAGCGCAGTCCTAAGTGTTCATTCCTAAAAAGTAATAATGCTAGCCACCGTAACAATGACAGTTCGAACATGTAGAAAACGGTGAAAAAAAACTGTCATTAAATGATTCATTTAAATAAAAATCGCATGGGGAAAAAAATATTTCAAAATAAACAGTGAAAAAGTATTTAATCCAAAATATATTTTCGTGCAAAGTTAAATACAACTAAACTGTACTTAAACCGTTTTATGCTAATGGCTCTGCATCTGTGCGGAATGGCCTGACAGCAGTTACAAATTACAGGAACTGAACTGCTTGAGCCCCTGCAGTTTGTCTACTGGGCAAACAGGTCAGTGAACGATGTAGTCAACATGGGGGTGCATTACATCCTGGAGCACCTCAACGGGACAGTGCCCTACGCAAGGGTCACGTCTGTGGACTTCAGCTCTGCGTTCAAGACCATCATCCCGGAACTCCTCACCTCCAAGCTTCTCCAGCTCAGTGTGTCCCCTATGATCTGCCAGTGTATCCTTAGCTTCCGAACAGGCAGGGCACAACAGGTGAGCCTGGGAAGGACATAATCATCAACACGCACCATCAAAACTGGGGCGCCCCGAAGGATGCGTCCTCTCTCCACTGCTCTTCTCCCTCTACATCGACGACTGCACCTCAAGACACCCAGCAGTCAAACTCAAAGTGCGACACCACAGTCATCGGCCTCATCAAAGACGGCGATGAGTCTGCGTACTGACAAGAAGTGGAGCAGCTGGCCCTCTGGTGCAGCCAACACAACCTGGAACTAAAATCCCCCAGATCCTGTCCACCACCTCCTCCAGCTACTCCCTTCAGGTAAGCGCTATCGAACCATACATACCAAAACCAGCAGACATTCAAAAAGCTTCTTCCCTCTCACTATTAACTCCCTAAATAGTAACTCAAATCTATAGTGGCCCTTTGCATTTTTACGCACCCCTGTGGAACAGTATTACCACACTGATCATTGTAGCGCCAGCTCTCTACATACTTGAACAATTGTCATTGATCAATATTCCACAGCACCAGACACTTTAAAACTGCTTCAACACACTGCTTTCTATTCTCAATGGTGTGTTTTTAATATTGGGAGAGTGTACCCTGGTAACTTGCATTCAACGAGTAATACAGGAGTACCAATTCATTGTAGTGGGACTCCAAATGTCCAAGATACTTTTTATGTTCGATTACAGCATATAAAAATTCTAATTCCACTCAAAAGAGGCATTTCAAGGTTTGTCGCTCTCTCTTCGTCACAGATAATCTCAGCACCCAACACTTCTCCTTGTCACATTTATCTTCTGTATTCAAATTACCTGTGAGTTAATGAACCTATTGCTTTTCCAGCAACTGAAAAAGGGCAGACTCAGATCAGGATTTTCTTGACTCAGTCATACGATGGCCAACCAAACTGACGTGGACCACGCGCTGCTGTTTTAATTGGAGTAACGGTGCGGAGGTTAAGGAGTCGCTTGTGGTTTTTCGCCATAGCTCTGGAATCCCAGTAATTAGGTTGTGTCATATTGTTTGGCATGAGGCGACATAAATTACATCGAGCCTAATTTGCTTTGTCTGATTATACGTCAAGTAACATGGCTGGTGCTCAAGGTGAGCAATGTTAATTGAATGCTCTCATCGAGTCTTCTGAAATCCCTCTTTCTTTTCAGAGTCAGTGGCCAAAAGATGAGCCGTCCATCATCACAGTTCGAGCGCAGCAACCTTGAAAGGACAAACAAAACACATCTGCCTCCTCATCCCTGTGAAGCCGAAAATAGAATGTTGACTGAAGAATCCTCAACTTTGTACTTTTTGCCCCCCACAAAAACATATTGCATCGGTTCTGGTTTTCTCATTTAAGCCACTGGCGATTTTGCTGTAATACTGTTGTTAATACACCTCGTGTCTTGTTTGACCACTAGCAGCACAGCAGGGGAAGGCGATTGCTCGCGGTTGCCAAGGTAACAGCATGCTCCCGCGCCCCCCTCCTCTGGGTGTGTACATGTTTAATGGTGGATAAAAATTAAAGCCAAGATTTTAGTACGTAGTTGTGCTGATGGAAAAGCTCTGATACTATGACACTAACCCGACATGGCTAAATACAGTCATTGGGAGCCATGTCAGCCATGTGAGGATCTTTTTAGGTGAAGCAATTTGTCAACTTTACTACTCAAGGGTATACATGTGGTCTCTGAACATAAGATTTTACTTCCAGAAAAAAAAAAAACATAAATAAATAGAAAGACTAGTCAGCTTTTCATCTGACATGCAAATCACAAGGGAGGGCGTCGGAGCCCGTCAAACATAGACGTCAGCAATATAAAACGCGTCCGGCAGTCTAACAATGTAATGGCTGCATTCCAGGCTACGCCGTGGCGTCATCCGCATAAGCGTGCTTGCGGCTGTCTATTCTCTCAGCCGAGCGACCATTCAACACCCACACAGCCCGATGAACGCGGCGGCTCTGTCAAACAATGAGATGGAGTTGTTCATCAATTTGAGAATTTTGTGGAGAAAACAACAAAGAGTGGCGATGTTCAAGCAAAACAAAACGGAGAACAATACATGGCTTCCATGGAAGCAAAGTAAAGGCTGCGTTTTGGATTATTAAAATGTCGGGAGAACGTGGATAAAATATCCATAACACTGTTCTCTCTGGGAGACTCAGAGAAGCATAGCCCAATCAATTTGAAGAAGCCTAAAAATACCATGGCGGGAATATATATACTCAAGCAGCGCAGACACGTTTGTAAAAGATATATCAAGGCGGATTCAGTGAGACGGAGCAAAGTGGGGAAAGCTTCGGGGAGAATATGCTGACAGCGAGTCCAGCGAAGCAAAATTAACTTTCGTTGTGCAGCTCACTTACTGCCGGTGAAGGCGATCCAGCGGGCGTACTTGGTGGCCTCTCGGCGCCAGTGTGATGCCACGAGGAGTCCACAGGTAACAGTGAGGGAGATGATGCCCATGATTATGAAGAACAGCGTGGTGACCCACTCAGGGGGCAACCGGGGAGGGATGCAAGTCCGGTCCCGTCCGTGGATGGTCTGACATTGCCGAACTAGACCAACTGTGAGGGCACCTGGATGGGGAAATCACGTTTTGATTAAACTCACTTGAGTTATCAACATTTACACAAATAGTGGCCAGGATTTTATCTTATATTTATATAATGAAAGCAACATTACAGATGGGCAGGTTAGTTTTGGGGTGCTACTTTTATTTTAATCCATGAATTTGTGTTCGGCTGGTTACCACGTCCGCCTCACACTGCAGAGGTGCACGGTTCGAGTCCGGCTCCAGCCTTCCTGTGTGGAGTTTGCTAGCTTTTCTCTGGGTACTCCGGTTTCCTCCCACATTCCCAAAACATGCGTGACAGGTTGATGGAACACTCTAAATTGTCCCTATGTTTGATTGTGAGTGTGAATGCTTGTTCGTCTATGTGTGCCCTGTGATTGGCTGGCAACCGGTTCAGGGTGTATTCGACCGGCCTACTACTGGCCGAAGAAAGCTGTGGTAGGCTCCAGCACGTCCACGACCCATGTGAGGATTAGCGGATCAGAAAATGGATGGATGGATCATTTTTAGTAAGCGATTCATCGCAAAAAATGTGAGTCATTGATGCGTGTCTTTTTTTTTTTTAAATAATTGACTACCTTAAAAACCTTACGCCATAAATTTACCACAAACTATGATTAAAAAAAAAAGGTTCAAAATTATATCAAACTTATCTTACAACAATACACTTAACTCATTGACTCCCAAAGACGTTTTTAAACGTCTTTTCAGACTTGATCCAGAATTGGCTGGTACTGAATGAGTTAAAAGGAATGGCTTTAAGATGATTTCATTGTGAAAAAAATGCACAAGTGAAGCAGAAGCAAAATAAAAGACTAAATGGGGCAGGGAATCACTGCTCTATATGCATGTTACCCATCAAATGACAAACTATCGGCTGCCACTGCAGTTGTTTGTTTACATTCAAAGTTCACTTTGCAACCAACACAAGTGACATGATGTACATCCAGTGAACCCTACTTCCCAAACTATCCATGGATATTATATCACCCTCCAAACCCATCTTACATAACTAACCTCAGGGTTGAGTCTACCCCAGGGGAAAAGAAGCAAGGAAAGTTCAAATTCAAGGGTGTCACACAGTAGGCAGGCAGCGCCAATTTCAGGGAATTTGTGTCTGAAATAATGACACGAACCTGAGAGAGAAGAGCAAAGTGTGATTCCCTCGCTGACTAGACAACTTGACAAAGCACAGACCAGGGCCAGGCAAGAATGGAAAGTGTCTTTAATTTGCCACAGATTCTGTGATATCCTTGTCCACAACAGTGGCTCTAATTATACCAGGGCGCATACATTTGAATTTGGAGGTCTGGAGACCTTGGGAAACTCTCAATTATTATCTATGACTTGTTCATTGTTCATGTCAGCCCTGAGGGATATGTCCTCCGTTTATTGTAAATACAGGGATCTATCTATTGATCTATGTACAGTGGTACCTCTACTTACAAAATTAATTGGTTCTGGAAGAAATTTCTTAACTAGCAAAGATTGTAAGTAGAGACACGTTTTCCATGTAAATGCCCTTATCCGTTCCACCCCCCCCACCACCCCACAAATTCAGACAAATGTTTTCTAAAGCATAAAAATAGGTAACAAATACATGTTACAATTAGATTATTGCACAACAGAGTAAAGCATAAAAATGATGGTCATTTATCTGGGTCTGCCAGTAACTTTTAACTGTGTCCTCATCGGGTTTTTTTTTTTTTTGCACTCTTTAGTTTTTTGCCTGACATTTTGTAAAGAACTGATCAGAGGACGTTTGCTTTTGTCGGATTTTAACAATCCTTCGAAAATGTCCAAGGCAAACATCAGCAAAGTGAGCGATCGCGCGACTGATGAACACTCTTTCTGGGTGATTCACATTTACATAAAACTATCGTAACACCTCATGGCCCGAGGGGCGATTGACAAGTGCGCTGCATAGACACATGTCTATCTATTTATCTACACACATAGACACATACGATTGAGGTCCCTCTTAGCCAATGGGATGCCAGGAAGATGCTCGGTAATAGCCAATGGCAGAGCAGCTTTAAGTATGTTGCGTTCAGGAAAGTCAAGAGCTGCGACTAACAGGCCATACTGTATTTTTACCTTTCTTATCTTGAAATTTCTTTCGTAACAAGAGGCAATATCTTCCTGTTGAGGCGTTTTGTAACTTGAAAATTTCGTATGAAGAGACGTTCGTAAAGTAGAGGTACCACTGTATCTAATCCACAAATTTTGGCAATTAAATACTGAGTCGTTCTCCTTTACAACTGCTGCTCTACTCAAGCAAACAGCCTCTTAAAATTGTCATCTTCCTGCACATGACGCATCATAAAGCCCACTGCAAATGGATGCTGGTGTACTGGACATGACCAGATTAGATCAGACAGAGGGACAAATGTATGGCCTCGGGTACCGAAATGAGGAAGAGCGGCAGCGCAGCAAAAGTGTCAGCAGTCGGAGCTTGGAACATGACTCACTGGCAACGGTGCAGCCACTCTCGATGTCGAAATTCAATTACGCTGCACCTAAAGGGGAATTTCTACCTGACTAAGCAAAAGCAGATTAGTGCAGTGCACACTTCATGCCTGCTAGTGCTTTCAATCAGCGGGTTATCCGTCACACGTAATTACCAAACGTAGACAAATAATGGGGTGCCGCCACTGCTGCTGCTCCTGCTGCACTGTGTCCAGAGATGCAAATGCAAAATGGTTAAATAAAATACTTAAATTGTCATCTCGACAGCCAGGCCTCATCCGTGGGCTTTCCAAAGTACAAAATGATTCTCGAGTAAGGTCTATAAAACACAACTGTCTTCTGTTGCGGCCTGCCAAGTGAACATCATTTCTAAACGTTAACCATATACCGAAAGACGATAAGTATATTTGTCTGTGACGTCCATTTTGGAACGAGCCATTGTCGCCCCTTAGTGTTTTAGCGGTCGAGAGGAAATCCTGCCCCTTGTATCAAACCCAGTGATAGCCTGCCTTTGACTGCGACAACAAAGCAAAACCTCGATACAGCTCACACAAACAACGCCTGTCATTCAAAAGCAACTACTTTCAGTGTAAGCTAAATATACGCCGGGAAAGGGTAGCTTTGCCTCAGAGCTTATCTTATCGTCATGGGAACTCCTTTGTCACTGGATAGAGCACTTATGCGGTAACTCCATGGAGGATTGAAAATAGAGGTCACGGGGAAAGACAAATACAGCACCTTAATGACTCGCAGGTGATTTTGAAAGTCAACCTTCTATTACGGAGTAACCATGGCCATGTTGAAGAACGGGAGGTGTGAGAGGTCAACTTGTACTAAGAACAGGAGAACATGGGACTTTAGGGGAACCGCTTTACAACCACTTCCCCGGAATCTTTGGCTATCCCGCTGTTTCAGTGGCTCTCCGTGGAATGTCCTGCCAACAGACCGGACGGCAGACGCACAACATGGGACGTGGACGACGCCTGTTGTGGTTACAACTTTTTCAGGATCAAGTATAGGCTTTTCAGCAAAGCTAAAGCACGCCAAATGCGTGCAGTGTGTGTTGTGACAGGACGAGCCATTTTTGGGAGTGCTTCACTGCAGTGTTTTTCCACAACAGAGGTTGTACAAGTGTACTCAATTCCCCATTAAAGCAATGGTGGCTATCGCTTGAAGTCGATGACTTGCCAAACACATTTTGGCATCAACAACATAAACACCCAAACAGGTGCCATCACCACCGGTACACCCCAAATTAAAAAAAAAAAAAAAATCCAGCCTACATCCCACAGACGCAGGCCGGCGCGCTCCACTTTTTTTTGCAAGTCACTGCACCGCCCTCGACTCACTCATCCTATCGCAAATCACACTCAGACACTTTCACTTCCTTGCAGTCAGTCAGAATTTACAAAACTCTAGCAAGGACCCGAGTAACGCGGTCAGTAGGAGGGTCACTGCGATATATCCCTGCAAAGTATTCGCCTCTTCTATGATTTTTGTTTGTACCGCACTGTGGCAAGTAGCGACCCTGCAGTTGTGTTGGGTGAATTGGAATGAGACTTTTACTATTTCCGACTGTCTGCGAGGCAGCGAAGGTGTTTGAACGTGATTTTATAAATAAGTATAAATAACTGATTAGCTAGCTTTGACCCATCTATCATCATTTTAGCAAAGACTGTAATTTCCCAACCGACAACCTGAAAAATAGGCTATCAAAAATGTCCTAAGTCATTCAAACAACTATCAAACACGATACAATACATCTTTATTTATATAGAGCATGAAATCTCAACAGCAACATTCTCTTCCGTTGTGAACACGATAAAAATACAACAAATCAACTGGTGGAATACGCACCGCGTGAGTCCAATGGGAATTCAAATGAATGCCCGGCAAATTTTCAGCTACACAGAAAGAAAATTTGAAAGAGTTTCACCCACTGACAAGTGATTTTAACATAATGTTCACATTGCATGCACACGCCCCGAGCTTGTTTGTATGCACAACCGAGAAAATGCGTGCCCATTAGGCAGCAGATAATGGCCCGCATTACTTCACCATTACTAGTTTACAGACAATTTCCAACGATAAGCGCTCCTCTGCTAACCTTTACGCCGCCATTGTGCCCTGCTGCTGCCCTGCAATTTAACACACTTGGATAAAAAAAAAAAAAAAAAAAAAATGAAGCTCTCGCCTTGCGTTGGTCCAAATGAGAGGAAACGGCTGCAGTAACTGCTCATCCTCAGCATGACGATGCTATCATTAGCGGGGCATTGAGGGCACTGCTGTTTGTAAACTCTGGCGGGATGAGTCAAAGGCGCTGCTGAAATGCGTGGTGAGCAGAAAGAACAGCAGCCAGCAGCTGCTTTCTTGCAAGTGATAGATAGGGCCTTTAACAATCGCCCACTAACAATGGAGCACAAACAAAGGACATTTTTTTGTTCCTAATTTCACAAAACAAGGTTCATGAAAAATCTCTTCCGGTGTCTTGATGAACAGTTAATTGGAATTTAACAAATGCCCTAGAAGGGTGTTCGTTATGAATGGCGGCATAACAAAAATAATTGAGGAAATGGGTCCAGTTTGGCAATAAAGGCCATGAAATATTTTTTGTCCAGTTATCAAGTGTTGCAAGCCTTTCAACATAGCAATACAAGTGCAAGCATTACGGGGGAGAGGGGGGGGGAATACTATTGAGTTTTTAATTGAAAATGAATCAGCGTAGGGGATGCACCTTTCAAATTGCAATCTGATGGACTGCAAATGAACTCTTCTACGATAGCTCCCAAGTCACTGGCAGCTGAAAAACATCTTTCACTTTGAGCAAAGAGAGTCAAAGCTGTAAATGGGTTTCATTGTGGACTAAACGATTGCTTAGGATTACACTGTGCAGCAAGTCATTGTTGATCAATGGCTTTTGAAAGTGATTGCTTTAGGCAGCAACATTTGGCTCAGTATGATAATGGCATAAAAAACGGCGGTCAGAACATTTGGACATTTCCCATATCATGAAAAATATTACTGATGAATCATCTGTGCTTATTGCCATTCCAAGTCGAGGTTTGCTGTCAAATTTAACAAGCCAAATGGTGCAGCAACAAAGACAATATAACAATGCACACAGTAAAACAACTTACTCTTACTGCAGCTTACTGTGCACTTGTGACCATCGAAATGTTGTCAAATGTTACTTCAACCGTACCGAAGTTGCTGCCAGAAGGATGTACTGGCATGAACTTTTTTTTACTTTGATTTGTATGCTAGGTCTTGCACCACACATTGCTCCCCCCGCCCCCCATTTGGTTCGATATCTATTTCTGCCTAATTATGCAGCAAATGAGATGGGACTGAATCCATTGTGGCCTACCCACTGCTATTTAGCACAAGTGCTTCAGGTACACACAATCATCTTGTTGACATAGCATGAAATTGATTGAATTCCACAAGTTGGACAGCGTTGTTTGAAACTAATCCATTTCTTGTGCCCATCTTGCGTTAACATTCAGCCAAGATTCACACCATTGCCAAAAACAACAGGACAGATGTGGAATGTTTAACTGTGAAGATACAGTAAGGTGTGGGGAAAATGGGCAGGCTGAAATGAAACAACGAAAAACACACACACACACACACACACACACACACACACACACACACACACACACACAAAAAAAAAACAAAAAAAAAAACACGCTTCATGTAATAACGCATCACCGGTCTCAGGTCGTAACGTGAAGAGAAGGTAGTCTCTTCTTGGATATGATTTTGCAGTTTTCAGACGAGCCCCAGTGCGAGCGCCCAGAGTGAATCGGAGGCTCTGGAGAGTGACGTCCACTTTAAGTGGCGGGTATGGAGGGTGCAGTCGTTAAGCGGAGCTGCCAAGAATCACACTGCAGCAACAATGGCTCAGCCCAGGAAATCAGCCTCAAGTGTTATTGCCCCAGGATATCACGCTGATGTGAGGACAATGTCAAGACTCCACACGTCGTGGTGGTCACTCACTGCACTCCATCTCATCTGAGGAGTTTCTACGAGACTGTACACAATGTGGATTCTTTAGAAGGTTATAGGACTAAAGTTGTACCTCGACTTACGAACGTCTCGAAATTTTCACGTTACGAAACGCCTCAACAGGAAAATATTGCCTCTTGTTACGAAAGAAATTTCAAGATATGAAAGGTAAAAATACAGTTTGGGCTGCTACGAGCAGCTCCGAGTTTCCTGAACGCAACATACTGTACTTATATGCCATTGGCTATTACCCAGCATCTTCCAGGCGTCCTATTGGCTAAGAGAGACCTCTACTGTCGATAGATAAATATATATGTATCTATGCAGCGTCCTTGTCATTCGCCCCTCGGGCCATGAAGCATTCTGATAGTTTCAGGTAAATGTGAATCACCCAGGAAAAAGTGTTCACCAGTCGGGCGATCTATGTCTGATGTTTTCCTAGGACATTTTCGAAGGATTGTTAAAAGCCGACAAAAGCAAAGGTCCTTGGATCAGTTCTTTACAAAATGCCAGGCAAAAAACACCTCTGAGAGAGAACATGAACTAAAGAGGGCAAAAAACGATGAGGACGCAGTTAAGTTAAATGACCATGGTTGTTATTCTTTACTCTATTCTTTGTTTGTTGCACAGCTGTCATTTATTGTGCAATGATCTAATTCTAACATGCATTTGTTACATACTTTGATGCATTTTCATGCTTTAGAAAACATTTATGTCTGAATTTTGTGGGGGGTTGGAACGAATTAGGGCGTTTACATGGAAAACGCATCTCTCCTTACAAAATTTTGTAGTTTAGAAATTTCTTCCAGAACCAATTAATTTCATAAGTAGAGGTTCCACTGTAGTGAGAAATGCTCAGCTTCACGTGCTTCCCCCGGCTCATTTAAATGTCCATCCTTATCATAAATGATTGAATCATTTGGATCCAACTATTGAGCGTGATGCTCAGGTCTTATTGTGGTGCCAAGGTACTTATCTGATTAGAATGTCAAACTGTTAAGCTGTATTCCGCAAAGTGTACAAGATCACATCTGGTTGTGATCAAATGTTCCTTTCCCTACATCGAAACAGACCAAAAATGGTTTATCTGCTTATTTAGTCATGTAACATTACAGTCCAAGTTATAGATGGTGTCATATACTGTCAGTGATCATAAAACCCAAAACCAAAGGCCAAATATTAAAATGTGACAGGCTTCAGATCCTTCAAATTGTGTTGCTGTATGTAAATGAGTTTAGAACAGGTTGCATGCATCAGTGCGTGACACAGCTTAGCTTAGCTTCAGTTCAGTGAACCTCTCAGACAGAGGTAGGGAACTCCGGTTCCTCAAGAGCCATTTTCTGCCTGTTTTAGATTCCTTCCCTACTCCAACACACCTGATTCAATTCTTCATGATCGTTTCAGGCCCCTATAGAGCTTGCTGGTGAGCTAATAATTCGAATCAGTTGTGTTGAAGTCGAGAGAGATCTAAAACAGGCAGGATGTGGCTCTCGAGGAACCGGAGTTCCCTACCCCTGCTCTAAAAGATTTACTTTACAAGGACATTTTACTTTTTCATTGGCTTTTGATGGCAAAAAAGGAGAAATTTGATGACGCGACAAGAACATGAATAGCGCTTTTTGCCACTTAGGATTGGGGTACATGTGACTCTCTGTCCTGGCTCCTGAATACAGTATTTTTTGCAGAACAGCAAACTTGGCATAATAGTCAGGAGCCAAAAGTCCTAATATCAATAAAAATACCAATATTTCTTTGTCGGTGTAGTTTGTGAGTCATTAAAGTATTTGAGTCGTGATAACTAGACTCGTTTGTCGAATATCTTTATTTTATTTATCATTTTCTTAATTTTATTTTTTAAATATGACGACAGTAAATTAAGGACGATGCAAAGGCTAACGATTTGAAGGTCATCACCTGCCAATCACTTGCACTGTACTATTCATTCATGACTATATACAGAATTAAAATGAAATGTTTTTACATTTTATACCCAGTTATGTTTACACTACAGATCATGTTAAGATAATACCCTAAAAATTGCTTGGAAGGTTACAGGTGTTGTGATTGACAGTGAAACTGTTGCAATAAATTTCCATTACATCCCTACAGGAAAAAAAAAAGAAAAATATACACAAATTGAATTTCAACCGACGATGATCTTTCACACGTATCTTGCTTTTACAAAGTAAAAAAATAATAAAACTTACTTCAAAAAAATTAATTGCTTCAATATTTGTGTATATGTTAACTGGATCTTATTGTACTTATACTGCTTACATTATTAAAACTGACTCATTGTATAACACGTGCATTTGTTTCGTAAATCTAAAAAAAAAGAAAACACTGTTAATGTTGGGATGAGGCTGGAATATGCAAAGAACGAGTGAAAACAATCCTGTGAAAACAGTCATTTGGACACTTTACGCAAAAACGCAACACGCGAAGCATGATGGTGGCACTGAAAGAGATAAGTATTATTTTTTTAAGTGGTAAAATTTGGACAGCCACTGATCTCAATTGCCCATAAATGAAAGGAATAAATGAATATCTGTTGATAAACGCAGCTACACGGCTCCAGCGGACGGACATCCAACAAAAAGGCAACCAGAACTCCCCACTTACCTGCTGACTCGCCAGTGTTGATCCAGTCTGGGTTTGCAATGCTGGCTATTGCAAATATATCCGCCGCCAGAAACAGGCACCCTGAAATGATGGTTAGCTTATCCATATTTTCTCCTTCATCCAAGGAGCATGTTCATGACGAGGATGGGGAGGAGGCAGAGATTAGTGGAGGAGAAATGTGGCGGTCGTTGTCCAAATCTGACCCCGGGGAGAGGGAGACAGTGGGGCGGCTGTAGTCGGTAACCTCGCTCCCCCCTCTAGCACCTCAGCGGGATCCCGGCTGTTGTGCTTCCACTGTGCATTTTTTCGCAGCGATGTTTTAGCTCCCTTTCTCCACCACGCCGAAGCATCACATCTCAAAACGACCCGCTGGCCAAACAATAGCTCGCGGCGAAAGGGCTTGCGTTGTCCCCCACCGATGCTTTGGGAAGCATCGGGCAAAGATGTGGCTGGCTAGCAGGCGGCTAGCTACTTCCCAGAGTTGGGCTCGGTGAGCCGAGCTGCGGCCCGCAGGCTGCTCGACGGCCGAGATGACGACTGGGTAAGCATTTCACACAGAAACTGAGGCGCGCAAGAAGCGAAGCAGTGCTATCCGTGGGTGGTTTGCTGTTGTTTTGGCGAAGTCACAATGGAAGACGAGAGCCCATCACCGTTGCGGCTTCCCGGTTCTCCCTCCGTTTGTTAGCCGAGCAGCCTCACTCCTCCCCGCTCCTTGTTCTTCTTCCATGGACCGCTGTTGCTGCTGCTGGTGGTGCTGGTGGTGGAAGAAGAGGAGGGGGGGAGAGTGGCAGGGACGCAAGCGAATTGAGGTCCACGGCGCGTCGTTACAGCTTCCAAAAGTGAGCGAGGGGCAACATGGCCCCGTGGTTGTTGTTAGGCGTCCCACCCGCGTACCCGCCGCAAGTAGCCGAGCCGAGCCGAGCCTCTCGACCCACTTGGTCCACACACTCACTGCCCCGCGGTGGGGGATTCGTTCAATACTCTCGCGATATTATCGGATGGGGTTGGGTGGGGATAGGGATAACATGGGGGGCGGGCGGGGGTCTTGTCCCAGGTCGCCCTGTCTGTGGAATTTTATAATTTATTTTAAACACATGGTTTGAAAATTGGTTAAATGTTTTTACGTACTGTATTTACCTAATTAAATAATTGGTTCATTTGTTTATTTGTTGTAAACTGTGTACTTTGTACTGGGGGAGCAAACACGCTTTAGTTAAAAATGTATATTAAAATATATTAAGAGTGATACAATGAATTAATTAAAATTACATTACTGAAATATTTTACCAATCTCTCACTGTGTACAATTTGGAATTTTCTTAAACGTGTCTATTCATTTCTTCAGTCATCTCAATGAATTATTTCACTTCTAATATTGTAAATTATCGAAGACAAAACTAGTCCACATACAATAGGTGGTTACTGTATTTATAATTAATGATAACAATAATAAAGTATTGTATTATTAAACCATTTTACATATTTTGACCTCATTTACAAATTGACTTGGCCCATCTGTAGTTAAAAAAATAGAAATGTGGCCCTTACACACAAGTTTGCCCACCCCTGATCTATACCAGAGTGACCTTGATGAGGATATTTTGATGCGAGGGGTATGATTGAAGCCATATCTTCATTTTGTGCTTTAGTGCAAGTAATAGGAAGTCTATATTTCAGTATGTCAGTGAGCAAAACATAGCCTCAAATGGTAGAAATTTCAATTGCGAATGTGTCGGTGTACCTAATAATCTGTCCAGTATTTGGAATACTGAGGTCCCGTTTTTTTCATGTTCAACCATAGATGGAAAGTCAGGCGTTTGGCTCCACACAGTGGCTCATGAGTGACTTAACACACTGAAAGAACAACAAGCTTGGTTTTACTGTCATCATGTTTAATTTACAAAGCTATTCACAGAAGCAGACAAGAGCAAAACCGAGCTCAACTGGACAGCTCCCCCCTTTTTTTTTTTGTTTTTTGTGGTGATGACACTCACTGTAGTTGGACAGACTGTAAATGAATGCTTTTCATAACTCGTCCACAAAAGGTGTATTGATAAGATGTCCACTAGCTGCCATCGTCTTCTTGGAGTCCATAAATTTTCTTGCAGCCTTGAAAGGAAAGAATATTGGATTAAATTAGATAGATATACAATGTAGGCCAAAAGTAGGTATATATTTTTTTAAACGCATTTACAATTATAAACCCAGCCGCTGGGGAGCAGTGCCCTCCCCTGGGGGTGCTCTGTTCCCCAGTGCCGGTCCCAAGCCCGGAGAGATGGGGAGGGTTGCGTGAGGAATGGCATCCGGCGTAAAACTTTTGCCAAGACGACCATGCGAGTTGATGGGACGGTTTACAGGGACGGATGGAAATTACTGACTCGCTGTGGCGACCCCTGGACTGGGACGAGCCGAAAGGAGAAGAAACGCATTTACAATTATATTCATTAAACACACTAAATACAAAATTTAGTGTATTTAAAGTATGGTTTCAAGCGAGATTTATATCATCTTTGTTTGCTTCCTTCCTTCCTTCGTTTATTTTTTCCATTCTTCTTCCCTTGTTTCCTTCTCTTTCATATCATCTGTTTTCTTCAGTCATCCATCCTTCCTCTCACCCTTGTGTCCTTCTTTCCTTCCGTCATCCTACAGCAACCTTCACTTTCATAGCATCCGTATTTTCTTACTTACAGCCGTCCCTCGACAAAAATTTTATTACTTCTTGCCTCCTTTCTGTCATACATCTGTTTTCTTCTTTCCTTCGACCCATGTATTCTTCCTCCCATCCTTGCATATACCCTTGGAGCACACCGTCAAGAAAGCCATCCTTTTTTTCCTTCTGTGGAAGTTGTGCATGGCTGGCATCGTCACTTTCAGAAGACGCTCACCTTGACCACATCGTCCTGGGTGATGGCGTCGATGGCCTGGAGGACCGTCTCGGGTGGCTGGTACGTTCCGGTCGCCAGGGCCTGAGCGCCCATCTCTGCCATCAGGCCGTCTGAGCTTTCAGTTGACATCAGATAATCCACTTTGGCCTGAGTCCTGCACACAAAGGATAGCCAGCCATTTAACATCTCTACAATGTTATGTGGCTGAGATACTGTGCATCTCACAGAAAATAATCAATTTCCAGGTTTAACCACCCACTGCCAAGATATAAAGATATAGTATAAAAGGTGCAATGATTAATTGGCAAGTAATCAATTGTGAAATTGAGAATTTTTTTTGATCATCAATTAATTGTTTAGAAATAGTTGAAATTTCAGATTCTCAGCAGTATCAGATTTTTGTTGTCCTCGATGATAGAATCCAAATCAAAATTAGCTTTTACTTTTGAAGTCAACTATCAACATTTGTCCTTATTTTCTGATATGTTAGACCAAGCCAGTGACTGAATCTTAATTGATTTACGTTTGTGTACTGTCAATTTAAAATGATGCCAAGTTTTTTTTGACTGTATCACTACCTGATATAAACTGCTCAACCCAAATTCTTGCACCAAACTCACTTTGCTCTGGTGATGTCATCCGCCGTCACGGCGCCCCCGGCCACTCCTCCCACTTGAGCGACAGCCGCTCTGATCACCTGTACAAGATGGCGAAAACAAGGAGTGTTTGGTGATTTGAAGGCTGTGTATGGTCAGTTATGTTTTTGTGTGCGTGCGCGCAAGCACTCACGTCTCCGGCAGCGTTTGGTTGTGAGATGGTGTAGACGCCGAAAAGACCTGAGTCAGAGTATGAGGCATTGAAGGCTGAGGCCTGAAAGAAAAGCAGATACTATTTGGAAAAAGGAATTGGAAAGCTCAAGTTCATGTCAAGTGACATAATGTTGGTGTTTGAAGCGCCGACTTCTGCATACAGCTGCAACCACCGGCACTGACATGACCATTCCCATTCGTTCATCAGTTGATCACCTCTCGTGTTTTAATTGATTTTATTTACGAAAAAATATATATCAACGTGATAACATTTCATCAATGGCAATACTCCATCATGTCAATCACACTATCAATGTCGCTTAGCTTGGCGTGAAGTTTTTATGACCTTCTAGGCTACTGGTGTCAAATTCAAGGCCCGGGGGCCAGATCTGGCCCGCCATATCATTTTGTGTGGCCCGCAAGAGCAAATCAAGCATGTCAGCTTTTCCATGATGCTTCCATGATGATGCTCAACCAAAATCTAAAATTGTCATTTCATACTTATTCATGTAAACAATGGCTGAACTAACCATTATTCTTGACTTCTAGTTTGAAAACTAGTTATCCACCAATTTGTTGTGCACTGTATATGTAATAATCTGGACATAATCAAACATTTATACGGTTTCACAAAATTCACAGTCATAATGGCCCACTCTGGGAAACCATTGAAAGGCGCTTATAAATAAAATGTATTATTATTATTATTATTACAGTGTGGCCCACTACAAAAATTAGTTTGACACCCCCTAGAATCTAGGCAATTCTGTTTCGAACGTGTGTAACATAAACAGTGATTCCTGTGGACAGATTTACTTGTGTGGTGTCAACAGAAGTCATTTAAGATGTGCTTTTAAGAAATGTATTTCTTTTTTTTTTTTTGGTGGCTGAGAATGAATGAATGAATGAATAAATAAATAAAGTTTGTTTTCTGGCGGCAACAAACAGAAGCTAATTCCATCCTTGACTCCATGTTTTTTTCTTACATCAAAGAGCTGGGTAGTTGCCTTGGCGATGCCCTGGCTCAGTTTACTGGTGATGTTGGCGCCCCGCTTTATATGTGGTCCAGCTCCCAGGATCTTTTGCAGCACGACAAATGCAGTGGCTTCCGTGCTGCCTCCCACGCCGCCTTCGCTGACAACCACTGCGTGAACCAGGTTGTCTTTGTTCTGAACACGAAGCTCACCTGTCAGGAACGGAACATTGTTGCAATAGACGTGGGCGGGGACACAGCGCTTTCATGAAGTTAATGAGCACGGTCTTTACCTCCACGGTAAGATGCTTTAACAACGGGCGCACCAGCCCCGCTGCGGACACTGAGGAACCTCTCGCCCAGCTCTTTCAGGTCAGAGTGTTTTACACCTGAAATCAACAAGATTCGAGGCAGGATGAGCAATGTTAAAACAAAATGTCGCAAAATGCATCCGTAATAAGACACTCACCCAGCCCGACGACAGCCATCCGGCTCGTAGTGAAATGGTCCTCGACAAATGAGTGCAGCTACATGTGGAAGATATACAGAACATAGAAGTATCAGCATTGCCTTTGCACCAAATAATTCAGAGGGAGTTGTTTTTTCAAAGGCAGGGTTTCACAAACTTTTCCCACTAGAACCCCAAAATTCTAATTTTGCTTCCTCCACTGGACCCAAACTTAATAACATACACTACACAGGAAAAGTTATTAGTTAAGAATCATAACTTTGACAGTACATTGGTGGAGGTTGGTGATAGGGCTTGTGCCCAAATTCACATTACATTGCTGCTGTAGGAATGGAATGACGCTGTAATCTGAGGAACCGCCTGCATTGCCATAACATTGACATTACACACACACACACACACACACACACACACACACACACACACACACACAGAAAGTAAAGATATAATTTTAAAAAACACAGAGGAGATTAATTTTTGGTAAGAGCCCTTTGCCTACTATTGTGTGGTGGATTGATCAATTAAACAAAGACAAAAAAAAGTGCAAATCCATACTTGCTGAGGAGAGACTTTGCCGACCATGTAGTCTGGGCAATACAATGAACTGGACAGGGCGTTCTTGTAAGCCGCTTCGTGCAACTTCTCAATCACACCTGAATGAAGAAGATGGAGAAAGACATTTTCGAATCTGCAGTGGGCCCAATTGCACAAACGAGAAGATATCATTCGTTTGAAACATCATGTTAAATTCCTGCTCAAAGTATTGACTAATAAAGTTCAGGCACACGTTTCATTTTGTATTGTAGCATCGACTTCAGGGGTGAGCAAATAATGGCGAGCCGCCCCGTTGTGTTCTTTAACTATTTACATTATCAAGAGTAAAAACAAACAAAAAGAAAAAGCTTATTGTAATGGGATCAGTACAAACCTATCCGAGGAGATTGCTTTGCCCGAGCTTTGTCCACATTCACCCTGGGTGTCAGGTCACTCACTTCCCAGGGCCTGAACTCCTGCGCCGTGGTCACGTTGACCAAATACTCCAATATATTATCTCTGATCACACACAAATACATTTATGTCAGCATAAGGCACAGCGACCAATGGAGTGCCAACTCAAAGGAAAAGAGCCTCACACTCGCCGCACTTACAGGTCATCTCTGAAGCAGCGTGCGGTGTAGACCATGGTTTCTCGGGATAATGTAGCACTGCAGGCAAACACATGAGGATTACACTTACAATTGTTTGACAGAGAGCCACTTGGTGAGCATGAGGGGTACTGACCTCAGAGTGCCTCCGAGGGCTTCAACACCACGGCAGAGCTTGAAGGCAGAAACACCTTTAGTCGTCTGCAAAACAAAAGGAATGAGTGTGAAAAGTTGATGTTTATTTTCCTGCTTTTGTTTCTTCTTCCCTTCCTATCCTTTTAGATATATTTTTTTTGTTTTACTCAAGTTGTTTATTGTGTTAGTTAAAATTGTCTTCGCAAACCATTCTGATTGTTAGTGGAAGGTGGAGTAATTAGTTGTTACTAATACTCCAGAGCGTAGGATTCTTTCATGTGCTAATAAACTGTATAGCGGACAGCATGGATCTCTTTTTCATTTTCATATTTATTTTAAATGTTATTTTAAATTATAATTTGTGTGCAATGTTATCATTAAAATTCCTTCACTGCCAGACATTTTAGAGCATTTTGACATTTTGAAGACCACAGAATACTGTGGTCAATGAACACCAATCTACCAAATATAAGAGTAGACTCTCCTTTCACCAAGAAAAGAAAAGTTTGATTGTGCCTTTTTCCATTTTTTTTTAATAATCAGCGGTAGAAAAAAGGTAGGTTGCACAAAATGCAGCTATTTCTCCCAGTGGACTCACAAACTGTACTGAGGTCATATCTAAATGGGGCAATAGATGTCATCTTACTGTGGTTGCAATTCATTAAAGTTATTTCCAAGACTGAACTTTACAATGGAACAGCATCAAATGCTGCCCCACCCTCCCCGTTGAAAAAAAAACTATAATAGACAAACATTTCAGTCAGTAGCATGCTATCAGTTAATGTGAATAATGAAAACAATGATCTTTGATTTCGTTTGTGGGCATATCTAAATCAGCGCCATCCATTTCAAAGATGATGGTGTACCGTGTGGGCCAAAGTACACAAATGATACAAAGGGATTTTACGAGGCAAGCACATGACAACTTACTAGGTTGGCAGCCAGTCGCAGCACATGTGCAACACCCTGGTTCTCCACAGTCTCATAGCGACTCCCTGCTTTCACAAACACACCCACGCTGGACAGCGGGGAATAGTTCTCCAAAGACGCTATCACCAAACCGTTTGGGAGCTTGGACACCTGATGCAAACAAAATGGCTATGTTGGACTAAGGTCAGGAACACAAATGAGCTTGTGAACTAAAGCAGCACCTACCTGGATATTTTGAGGAACGGGCAATGCAACTGCAGACGACTTGTGCCCTGCGTAGGGCTCAGTCAGCGCTTCACTTGGCCTGGCAGCAGCATAGCACCGTTTCTACATGAGTGACAAACAAAAAAGTGACAAATTAATTTGCTTTTGGGATTGGTTAATGTCCTCTGACATCTTCGCGCAATCAGTGCATGTCACTTGGAGAGGTGAAGAGCTAAGGAAGCCGCAAAAAAAAGTAATTGTATGTCAATATAATTCATTAAAAGCCCAGACCAACACAAAAAGCATCTAACAACATTTAACTGCATATATTTCCGTAGTGAAACTCAAAAGAAATGATTGAATGAGGGGAAACCAACTGGTTGGTGATAATTCCAACCACTGTAGGCACGTTTGAATTGCATGCGGAGGAGGTTGAAAGGAGTACCGGCATCTATTCTTACAGGACATACATTATTTGTGACATGTTTAAATGGTGGTGTGCCGGGAGATTGTCCAGATGTGAAGTACGATGTTTGAGTTCAATACGGTTAGGGGGGAAACTGTTTACAAATGCAGATAGGACAATCCAGTCTGGGTATGACCTTCAAGTTATGTTGAACTGAGCTAAGTAGCAGCAGAAAACGCGCACATTGATTGTCGCACATCTGACGTTCTGCGCACTTGTTTGTAATGGTAATGATCAAACTGACACAAATGCATATAAATTGCAGGAACGCCTTGATTTTTTTTTCCCCCCTGAGAACAAAAATGCAGCATTAGCCAACCCCAAGCTAAACTAGCCGGCTGGCTAACTATAAACTAAATTGAAGTTCACATTGACATTTTTTTCAACGTATGACACTATGGCCAAATTGAACTTAATGGCCGTGACACAAGAAGACACGGTACAACTCACAGACAGATTACTGAAGGAACGAATTCCCCTCATGACGCCAAACTCGTCCGAGCAGTGTAGGACAAATATGGCGGAAGGGTGACGTCATACCCACAATCCACCGCAACATCTACTCACCAACCAGTACATTAAGTACACCGTGGCAACGTTACGAAATCCAAAACACGCGCGCTGTCTTTATAAAGCTCAGCTTTTGATCGACCCTGGATGATACAAAACTCCGTTTTTGATGGACTATGGACGATAAATGCTCATGTGACAATGTTTATTTTTGCATACCAGGTTTCATCTCTCTGTCCTCAAAATAAAATATCGATTTTTTTTTAAATAAAATTGTCAAGGCAAGTCAGCTTGATTGTCAAATATGCTGTATGTGCAACCTACAGCAGAGATGAAATTTCTTTCCTCTCAACCACAGTGCAACCACAGAGGAGAGAGGAGCGGCTGCGGGTAACCGCGCCGCCATTTAATTGCTCATCCCTTTTTAGGCAACTCAAATGACAATGAAACTATTAGAATATTTTTTGCGATTTGTTTAATCTTGGAAAAAAAATTCCTTCAGCCAAATCACAAATAAAATAACTCAAATTAATCGATGAAAATCAACTTATTTTTAGCCAAACGTCGTACCGACACTACAACCAGTTTATTCTAAACGTCAGTAAGTATCATGAGAACTTCATTGCCAATTTGTGAGAAGTGACCTTATACATCTTCATTTGCATAGCGCTTCCGCAACAGCTGCGGCTGTAACAAAGCGCCTAACAAAACATTTAACATAAATAGTCAACTGTATTTCAATACTCACACCATAATTTAAAGACATTTTTAATATTACTCCTTATAAACCCACGAGAAATCCTGCTCATACTGTGCTGCACATTTGTGTTCCACATCAGTTCCGTATACAGCACCTTGCTCAAGGGCACCTCAACGGTAGTTGGGAAGCCATTTTAAACTATCTGCAGCCAGACTTGGAAAAATGACCCTCTACTACAGGTTTGTGTTGCCCCCAATCAGAATTTTAAAACAAGAAACAGGTAAGCTGTGGCTGAATAATAAACACCACATTTTACCAGAGCGTACATTTGATGCCAGTATAATGGATGCATTGATAGAAAACCGGAAGACAGGCAGCTGTTTCAAAAGATAATGAATAATTTTATTAAAGTCACTTCTAATTAAAATTTACTGACACCAATTACAAAAATAATTAACACGAAATAACTACAATCCTTAAACATTTATAATACAAAGCACAGCTCACGTTTATCCTTTGCATGGGTACCTTACGAAAAATATTCAGTTGGATTTCTTGGCCCATACAGCATCTTGTCACTCTCACAGTTACACGGAGTTCAAATAAATAAATAACAATACTACTAATAATACAAAAATACAGCTATGAGCATGGTGGTTCTGTGTTCCTGTTGAGGGTGCGCATCGACGCGGGAAGGCATTGCTCTCGGATGTCATCACTTAGCTGTTTGGCAAACTTGGGTAGTAGTGCGACAAATCGTCCTTTCTCAGCAAGAGTGATACGCAGCTGAGCCAGCTTCGACTGGTGGGCATCTCCCCGACAATCTCCCATGTGTTGGTCTCGTCGCAGTACCTCTCGATTGTGTCATGATATCTAACAGAGTGCGATCAGGCATCAAGTTCATGCGACCGAATGCAAAAGGTGCCGAGAGTTTTGCTTTCCTCTCACCTGTCCCATCCTTCCTCTCCTCCTAGGACGTAGATCTTTCCATCCACCACGGCAGCGCCGGGCCGGTAGCGTCGTTCTTTCATTGGGGCGCACATGGTCCACTGGTTAGTCTTGGGGTTGTAACACTCAACCTTGTCTGTGTTTTCCTTCGAGGCGTGCCACCCCCCTACAGTTCAAAATAAAAACAGTAGGATGGCCAGTTGATTCACTTAAGCACATAGGTTCCTAAGCTTTTTACACCGAATACCACTACAAAAAAACAAAAAACACTAAAATTTAAATACAAAAACTTAACAGGTCACCAAGAATGAGGTAGAGGCTTTATTATTAAACTGTATATTTACTATTATTGCAAGCTACTGTAACATTATGATAATGTTTTAAGTCCTTAAATGATTCAAATGAAATGTATTGCACACAAGTTCAAAATTATACCTAAATAAATTTAAAACACAGTTATAAGAGATTAAATGCAACTGTATTGTGCTGAAACATAATGATACTCAAGTCAACAAAGCCAAGTGAAATACTCTACCTATGACATAAATCTTTCCTTTCAGCGTACAAGCTGCTGAACCAGAACGAGGAATCTGCATTGGGGAAACTTCCGTCCAAGTAGCGGTTTTAGGGTTGTACACTTGTGTGTGATCTGAGCCATCGCCATCCTCCAAAACTGCTCCACCTACAAGACAAGGCAAAACGCTCATCGTCAACAGGAGAGCAGGAAAGTTCGGCAATTCAGGATTTAAAAAGCGTGAACAGAACTTTCCAGAAATTTCCTCCCATAAGTGCTTTCACACTAAATTGTGTGCAGTGATGGCTGTTTGAAAGGGCTCCATAAATACATTTGAGTTGAGTAAATAGTGACTCGATCACCCAATCTGTCAAGTAATTCAAATCTGCTTTGGAAGACCCTTCAGTAAGAATTACAGTACATTAGCAGTATGTCCTACCAGTAACATAGAGAAGACCGTCCAGCGCCACAACGGCGGGACTTGTGACTGCCATTTTGACGGAGCCCGTGAATTGCCAGGAGTTGGTGTGAGGGTTGTAGCACTCCACCGAGGCCAGTCGAAAGTGACCTTCCCAGCCCCCCACGGCATAAACAAATCCATCCAGCATCACCAGGCCTGCCCGCGAGGAGAGATAGAGAGAGAGAGACGCTTGATTTAGTCAAATGAATTCTTTTTGCACTTCTTAATATGCTGCTAAACAGAAAGCCTCACATCCGTTCTGAGAATTGAGCACAAAAGCAGTGAGTGAACAGAGACTTGTAAGAATGAGGTTGAGTGTTGTGATGTTTATGATGGCAGCCCACTGAGACAGACGCACCGAGTTCCGAGCGAGACGTATTCATGGGAGCCATTTCCATCCAAGTCTCAAAGCACGGGTCGTAGCGCCACATCTCCCTACTGGCTGAGCCATCAGGGAACTCCCCTCCGGCTAAATATAGAGTGGAGTCTGCAAGGGAGACAGGGGAAAATATCATGGTGGGCCTTGGATATAATTCAAGTTTCTCAGCACAATTAATAAAAATATCTTTTGTTGTACCCCATTTTATTAGCAGATTTAATCATTCAAAATGCGGCAAAGCTTACAGTAACAACGTAGCTCTGAACAGAGAAGCACTAGTTTTCCCCAAAAAAAATCAGTATAGGAAACCTCCTTATATTTTGTGACTGATTTGAGCCAGTCTAATGAGTATTTTTCAAAACAGCGACATGTGAGTTTAACAAACATGAAAAAAAGCAGTAATTCATCAATATGTTGGAAGGTTTTTCACGTCTTTAAAAGGGGAGGAGAAAACAAAACAAAAAAAACGATTTGTGGAGGTGAATGCAAGTTTAAAAAAAAAAAAAAAGTTGAAACCCCAAATTGTTCTTTTTATGTTTTATGCAGCACCACAAGTCTAAACAGGTTTTTGTGATTGATATTGTGTTTGTGCAAAATGACTTAAGCAGCAAAATGTCCGCCTTTTTTATCCATCTTAGGGGGCAGCTATTTTGCAGCTTGCTGTCGACTGAAAATGACATCAAAGTTGCTCAGGGCTCATGCAACCATCGATTTACAGCTCATCTGTTTTATGAAACTGAGCCGTGATTGGTCGTTACCTGAGCAACTGTGATGTCATTTTCATGTCGACGGCATGTGGCAAAATGGCTACCCCTTCGGATGGATAAAAACAAGTGGCCTTTGCTGCTTATCTCATATTCCAGAAACGCAACATTAAATCAGAATGTCGTGCTTTGATCAGTGAGTACGCACATGACACATTATTGTCAAGAAGTTTTTGGGTTGGACTTCCCCTTTAAAAGACTTGGAAGCTAATGCAAGTACCCAACACCTGTTGGGCAGCTAGTTTCAGTAAGTGGGCAGGAGGAGAGAGGCGAGGGTAAAAATAACATTCATGTGGTAAAAACAAATTTGAGATTCATTTTCTATCACCCACCCCTATATTTTAGTTGCTGATTTACACTCTTGCATATGACTTGCGTTGGCTCACCTGACACCACGAGCCCATGCTTGCTCACAGCGAATGGCAGGCAGGCATGATCCCGCCACTTATTCGTAACGGGATCGAAGCTCTCCACGCTGCGCAGCACCACTTTGTCGTCCTCTCCGCCAACTGTTATGATGACTTCCGACGTCCCTGTTACCATGGAAACAGAAGAATCGTAACAGAGGTTAGAGCTCATCCCAATATTGTGACAAAGATATGTTATGTAGGAGTCACTTATTTTACAGTTTAAAAAATGGATAAATGACTCCCACGCTCCATATAATCTGTTTGATAATAAAATGTTGACCTGTGGATCTGCGCGGCCGTACCCGGGAGCAGAAGAGCTCCCTTCGGCGGTCCTTCAGCAGCAGGTAGTCTTTGGCCTCGGAAATGAGTCTCTGGCAGCTCTGGTTCTCCTTCACCACATCCAGAGACTCAATCACGTCATGGAGGTAATAAGGGCTGATGAGGGGCAGGCGGACGTGCTCCAAAACCTTTAGGAAAAGAGTGAAGAACAGAGCGCTTCAAATTTCACCACATCACACTGCACACACACACGATGCAACTACGTACTGTACATTTCAAATGTGACCTTATCAAAGCTTTGCTTGCGGGTTGGGCATTTATTTAACCACAGCGTGGCGGCCTCAAACACCAATTCCTCTCTGGACACGTTGAGGTGGTCACTGGCAAGGATTTCAGTTAGTTTGTCCACACACAATGTCAAAAACTCCTCCTGCAAGAGAGAATTTAAACATTGATTAAAAAGACGATGAAGAATTTATCGCATCCAAATGATCTGAGATGCGAAATAGTACTACACAAGTTGCATGTAATGAACTAGTTTGTGCAGTGGTGCGAGACTACAGGGCACCCTCGCGGTTTGGCACTTTCTTGTTCCATTTAAAAAATATAGATTTTAAGTCCCCCCGCATTTCATGTAGAAAATGCATATTCAATTTAATTCTCCCCACCACCACCAAATTATTTATATTAAGCGCAAAGTTTCACTCTTCATCGGATACCCCGGTCACTTCCCCCGCCCCCAACAAAAAGCAGGGGGACACTGAAACCTGGCGAGGCGTCACATAATGGTTGAATTTTTGAAGATTTTAGTCGAAGTTCAAAAATTGTATTCCTTTTGGGGCATTCAACCTTAGGTTACATGGTACATAGGCTCTTCAATTGAGGACTGCACCAGTACGCAAGCCTCTCACCTGCTGGCAAACACGGCTAAAATGCTTGAGAATGTACGCCATGCTTCGTTTCTCCAGCTGCTTACAGGAGTGGGCCTCAGCAAAGCAGTGGATGCCCACACAGTTGATCTCATCCATCTGATGCTCCATGAAGCTGCAGCAGGCCTCGCGCACGGCCATCACGTCCAGCAAGTTGGCTGCAGCCAGCAGCGCCTGGACAGAACAGCGTTTGTTAAGTTTACACCCAACAGTACAGTTCCGTCTCGTAAACATTGGAACTGTAAAGCTTCGTGTTCATGTTCATGTCAACTTTATTGTCAAATGTGCAATATACAGCACAGATTAATTTTTTTCCCTCAGGAGAGAGAGGAGCCGCTGCGGGTGCCCGCGCCGCCATCAAAAGAACAGTTCACATAAAATGACAAATAATACAACACAGACAGTCGTGCAATCTTAACCACTTTTCTGCATACACTTTGTTGTTTGAAGCAGTTATAAGCCCTGTTCACACGGCACACATTTGGTCCGACGCTGCACCGAAATATTTTGTTGCGATCTATTTTACACCGGAGCAAATTTTGTGGAGCGGTCACACGTGCAAAGCCGCTGAGCGTGACAGCTCCGGCGCAGCGTCGGAGCAGCTCCACTTGCGGTCACACGTGCAGTTTCTGCTGCGGCCCAAAATGACAAGGAATGCGGAAGTAAAACAGGTTCGGGTCGGGTTTCTCTCTCGCAGACTTTTATTTATTTTTCTTTTAATAAATATTATGGCGGACACGATTCTGTCCTTGTTCAGAATAGATCCACTTGTTGGCAGTCGTGGAATAAAGACGTGTTTACAGTCAATCGTGTGTGCTCCTTATGACTGCCACAATATATGTTTTTAAAAATGTATACTAAAATAATGTGCGGATACTAAACTAAGGAATACTTGTTTTAAAACAAACAATTTGGATAAAACAGAGAATGCGCTGTAATTTAATTGCTATTTAACTGCTAAACAGGAGCGCGGCCGGCCAGACCAGTGCGCACGTATG